AATACCTTATGAGGTTGTTAAACTTCGGGGTTATATGGAGCCGCTGGCCGGGTCAATAGTGACCCAGTCCACGGAGTACGCGTAAACAGTTGGTTTGTCGGTATGGAACACAGGGATGGTTTCTTTCGGGGTGGGTCACAAATGACCCGACCATAGGTTTAATTGGGAGCTGACGAGAAGACCTCCAATCAAATTCGTTCGTGACAAAGAGAGCGAACGGGATTCACAAGATTAAGCGAGATAGAGCGATAACAGAGTAATCACGTGGTACTGACGTAACTATGACGTAGCGTCTTGCAGTGCTAACCATTGGTCGACGAAATACCCCTCTTGCCCCTGTGCCTTTCAGTTTGCCGGAGAACGACCCAATCAGCAGCTCCCAACTGTAGGTACCAGAGTGTCTTTTGGTACTCTATATTTGTTTGTACTTTCTTGGTACTTTATACTTGTTTGTGATTTAGAATAACTCTTGGAAGTTTATGTTACTTTGGAGTTTAGAATAGCTTTTCTGGAAGACCATGTTTGTGATTTAGATTAACTTTTTTGAAAGTTTATGTTTCTTAGTGCTTCGGAATAACATTTTTCGAAGTTCACGTTTGCAATTTAGTTTGCAATAATATGAATCAGACAACTGATTCACGGTCCTTCTGTCGCAAAAATCCAGAGACTTCCGGGCCCAGTGACGTCATCCACGCGGTGATTGGGCCCGAAGGTCGCTGCGAATTTCGCGAAGGCCCCCGCGAGACGTAATCGCCATTTGGCGCGCGCGTACCTCGCCGCGGTCTCAATTAAATAAACTCGCCCCGGCATTCTTAGCACCGTAGAAAAGACTCTTGTGTTGTACATACAGTTAAGGTCAGTGGGTCGGCGTCGCGCATCATCAAATGAAATATACGAATACACCACAGTCTGACCGAATTACTCGAAGGACGAGACCGCCGTTAATAATGCATGTCGCGGCACACATAGATCTCCTCCGTGCCCTGTAAATCTTATAGAAACCAGACTGATGCGTCCGTGACTAGGATATGCGCTATTCCCCCTCTGCACCCCTTTCGTTCCCCGTCTTATCGTGTTTTTCTTTCTCGATCAATGTTCGTTCCTTTGATATTGCCGCAGCCCCGATACATCGATGGTCGTAAAGATGTGTAAACGAGGCAATTTGTCCGTAGACTGAAATTGTCTTTCGCAACGAAGGGGTTGCGATCTCGGATCTTGCTTTCGGTTTTCACCCCTTAAACTATAGACTATTCTTCTTAGAGACAAATTAGCTTGTTTTTTTTTTGGTAAATATTTACAATAAGGGAGCCACTTACAATTTTGATAATTTTTTTTCGGTAACCTCTTCAGGGACGAATTTACAAATTTATAATTTTCCAAATTATAAACACTTTTTTCCTTTCGGTTTAGGCAAATCACTTTCTCGCTTCGCGAGCTATCGGTACACCGTATGTAAACAATGGAGAAAATTGTGAGACTAATAAAAATTGTAGATAACCTTCTGTAACCACAAAGAAAGAAGCAATGATACGGCAATCCATTGTTTCCATACAATAACTGCCGAAGAATAGTCACTCGATTTGACCAAACCGAAAGAAGTTGTTTATAACTGAAAATATTAATTTTTCGCCTCATGTTTGTCACGACTTTTTTTCATCGTTTGACGAGTACTATCTATCCTAGAAGTTATGAACTATTGTATCTGAATATATTGTATCTTATTAGTTTGAAATAAAAAATATCGATATTAAATCGACCTATTTTTCTTTACGTTTTTTCGAGGGAATACTGAAATTTCCCAACCGGAAACATTGAGATCGACTTTACCATCAGTGAAACTACGGATCCTTGTTGGTAAAAGTTCGGTATTAATCGACAATAAAGAATTTGACGCACTTTTAAAATCAGTGGTGCACCGATGCAACAGTGAAAGTTGAAGGATCAATGTCGAACGGAATGTTTTATTACTCCCGGATTCGTTTCTATTTTAACATCGAACGAACAGGAATGTGGAGGATTTTATTTGCCAGTTATTCAGCGTGCTCGACCGACCGTCAACGGTTCCTATCTATGGTAGAGCAGGACAATGGGATATCTCGCGGCATCGAACCCGTTCCTGTTGATCGTTTCGATCAGAGCACCCGTAACAATGGTGCATCCGCGGAAACTGCGAGGGGAACGGAAACGTGTATTCTCGTCGTGACCAGAGGATCCGAGCAAGATCAAAAGAATTTATAGAGTACTGTCACGGACCCAATTCCTGATGAGTTTAGTATATACAAGGTGGACCAGAAATCGTAGTACAACCAGGCAGGGGGTGATTCTACATTAAAAAAGAAAAAAATATTTTGGTATAACATTTTCTCATTCGGGGCTCCGTTTTCGAGAAAATCGACTTTAAAATTTGTTCAACTTGTAAATGATTTAGTACAATTTGCTATAAATCTATAAAGAATTTCGAACAAAGGGTGAAAAAAAAGTATTACCTCATTTTGTATCGATCAAACGTGGAAATTGCAATTTTTATAATAAAGTAATATTTCTTCTGTGCAATTTTTTTTTGTCGTCGAGCTATTTTACAGTGTGCAATCGTCGGAGTTTCTCGTCTTGAGAAAGATCTCGAAATGTTCTCCGGGTGAAATTGATCTCGATAACGATCCGAGAGAAATGATTTCGAAAGCCAGAGGTGAAGCGCACAGATGCTCTTTCGCCGTCCCTCAGGAGGGGCGGAGAGCGTGTCACGCTTTTGTTCGGATTTTTACGCAACCAGGACAAAGGGAGTCTGCTTCTTTGTGACCTATGGCCCTCTTTCACCTGGCAAAAGTGGATTATGCACACGGGTCTTTTTGTGATCCGGGACGAGCACCGAAAATATCGGTAAAACCCCGCTTCTAACGACCTTTCGTTCACCCAATGACCTTGTGCACACGATCATTCAAACGTGAAAAAAACCACCCGAGCGTCCACGGATGCGATATCTCGAGGACTTCCGGTCGTAACCCAGAAATTTTGAAACTTCTTCCGAATCGTTTAGTAGCTGTTTAAACAGTTCACAAGAATCGATTAGATGTGAATTGAATTAACCCTTAACCTCTTTAGGGACGAATTTGATCAGACCAGAAACAAATTTTTCTTTTATTTTAATTGATAGGGTACCTTGTTTTACAGGGGAATTTCCTAGTGAATATTTAATTACAATTTTGAAATGATGCTTGAATAAATAGAGGAACTACACGGGGTTTTTGTTGATCTTTTAATTTAATAATGTTCTACTTGTAACGGTAGATAACTAAGATGAAAAGAAAACATTTTTTCGATTAAAAAACTTTAAAAAAAAATAGAAGTTACCTCTGTACCAGTAGTCTGTATAAAATACACCATTTCTGTCCTTCAGGGTTCATCGACGAATTCGCTACCACCATTTTGTTCCGACGTCGTTCATCTGAATTTAAATTTTAGTCAAAATAATGCCAAGTGCATAGTTATACGTCGTTCGAGTTCATTTATCGTAAAGTGGGTCTCCGATGACAAATTGAAGGGAAGACGTTACAAGTCGTTGGGGGTTACAATATGTCCTCTGTGTGTGTGCAAACGGGCACATCGGGCAACACAACCTCGAGAACACACACCACACGCGTTATCATGCTCCAAAGGTGTACTCCAGTTATCCGTGAGACCCTCGAGTCGAAAGGAAGTCGCGAATGCAGTGGGCCATGAACGTTATAAAATAAGTGTATTATCACGTAAACGGATACGCCACGGAACCGTTACGGTAACTCGAGTAGAAAGTATACCGGGTACGCCGTGAAGTAAGGAGCATGGAAAAATGATATATTCATATACAAATAATTATACATCAATTGGATGGGGAAGAGGGGGGGGGGGCAACTATAAAAATCAATCGAAAATCTTCAATAATACTTTCAACGATATGACTGTTTTTTTAAGAAAAAGCGACACTGACAGTGTTCTTCTGTTTGTTACAATGCCGTTTCTACTTATGAAAAAACTGTATTACACATTTTTTTATGTATTTAGTTCTCCACGAGGAATCATTGCCTGATCGTTTGCCCTACGTCTTACTGGAAAAAAAAAATAATTTTCATTCCTGAACATTTTTTTTTTTTTTTGCTTTGTTTGGTTTCAACCGCGGGATCAACGTGACAGCAACACAAAAAAAAAACAATCGTGTTTCGCTGACCCGGGTGGTGGTTCGTTCCCGCGTATTGGTTTCATTTCCTCGCGCGCTAACTCGGGCGCGAGAGGCAAGAGAGCCAAGCCAGAGATCCAGTTATACTCGGGCTGTGTTAAAGATACGCTCTGTAAGCAAGAAACATAATCACAAAGAGCGGTATTACTGTTACAAAAGTTAAGGTCGCTGGAACACGGCGCGCGGTTAGTTGTATTGCGCAACACTCGTGTAATCCTCCCGGTATGTGGCCAGAAATATTTCCGTGGATACACACTTGTACTGTTTTTAACTGGATGTCCTTACTTCGAGACTCTCGTTAGTTCTTTTGGTTGCCGAACGCACGTGTCCCATCTGTGTCGTGAACCACCTCGATTACATTTGCATTCATTGTCGTATAACCTGAACACGCCTGACAGACGGTTTTTCGTACACACGATGGATTCGATCGAAGTTTGTACTCCGACGAGCATACTCGGCTTCCACTATGGGAAAAAACGGCGTAGAAGAAAAGTCTCCTACCACTTGGTAAATTTATTCCAGGTACTGAAATAAATGTTAAATCGAATGTTAATTTGGTATAAATTTCAGTAACTCCCAAAACTAAATGGTAGCAGGCCCTTTGCCAACTTCACTTTTTCCCCTAGTGGATGGCCGAGTGTTGCTCGTCGGTGTACAAACGTTTAAAAAAAAAAACGTGTTACGCCTACAGATACCAGAAGCCACAGGCACTTTGTGTTACATTGTAGCGTTAGCTTGTTAAACAGTGCCGCACACACTCTCAAAATGAACAATCGTGAAATTATTGCAGATGTCTTGGCAAAGAGTCTACCTTTCCGTGGGACTGTTCGGTGTCCTGCTGCTTCTGACCAACGCGGATAACAGCGTGCACATATTGTCAAAGTATAATCAACTGGTCACCTCGACCACCCTCAAATGGTTGCCCCGTGCGCACTTCGATCGGCCGAGCGAAATCGTGATCGGTGGTTTTGAGATCGAGGAAACTGAAGGTACGTTCAACTGAGATCACAAAACACAGAGAACCTATTATGTATATTAGGAACCCACGGATTAAACGAAAAAGATACATGGTTAAAATGGACATTGAGTACTCTTGGTTTGTAGCTGGTCGAAACTGTGGGCTTCACGACGGTTGGTATCCCCGTAAAGAGCACCAGGAACCGGAAAATTTATCACTTTCCTAACGTATAGTTAAAATCTACAAAATAGAATTCAAATTGTTTCGTTTCTTCTTTGAAAAGTTATCCCCTTAAAGTCTCCCGCGCGTGGTTTCCGTTCATCAGACTTGGAGACATAACCGTGAACATCCCTGTCACACAACAGTATTACCAACCGTCGCTAAAAGCCACAACACGACATTTCTTTCTCGCTTAATGTTTACAGAGAGACGTTGTGGTCCGTCCCCTCCTCTTCTTCCGTTTCGATGGACGCGTACAAAATATAATTGTTTCGTTCCGCCCGTGTCTAGACACCATCATTTCTAACGAATTGTCAACGTTTCGCAGACGACTCGTACAATCAGGCGGAGAAGTCGGAGAGAAAGAAGCCTCTGTACGTGTGCCGGGTGTTGCACACCACTGTCTGGGTGGCTGGTAGCCAGAAAGGCGACCAGAAACGATGCACCGTGACGATTCACGGGACCGTACAATCGTACGAGAAGTACGAATTGCTGGAGAACGTGGACAATGCCGCACGCGTCAACTGGGAGCACTGGGATAAATACAAGCCGACTCCCATTGGTGCCGTGGCCACGGAAAACATGTTCGTCGCCCGGCACGCGGCAGCAACCCACAATGACAAAGACGCGCCAGACGGCGCGGCGAGGTACACCCATTATATCGGAACCTTGAATTCAAACGACAATCTCGGCTCTATCAGCTACGTGAGCGATGTAAGTAATTGCTGCGCACCACCGAGGTCCATTGTCCGATTGTTGAGAACGAAATCTCGCACGGTTCCAGAGATACCACCTTTTCAATCATTTTCTAACCCCACTAAGATTGTAGCAAAAGTAGGAATACAGTGTCGAATAGCTTATGGTAGAAATGGAGTTTTTGTAGATGTGCGAAAACATTAGGACTGATTATGAGAGATGCGGGTGGTTGTCGAAAGGTAGAATTAGAGTCTGATAGAGCAGTCTATTTGTATATTAAAAGTAACGAGTCAATACAGACTTGAAATAAGAAGAACTGACCAATGAAAGGATGCTGTTAAAAGAGTGTTATTTTTGTAACAGGATCTCACAGAAGGAAATGCGAAGTCTGGTGATGTTCTGGTCGAGACAGAGCCGATATACTATGATCTAACAAGGGTTAAATTGAACTGGTCTAAAAAGCGTGTAATGAAACGTACACCCCTTGTATTAGGGAAAGCAACGATTGCTAATAATGGACAGGAAGCTGTAAACATGGCACAGGCTTTTGGTTACACGTACAAGTATTCTGTGTACTGGGGGCAAGGGCATGCTATCTTGAAAGGCCTAAATACATCGATCACATTGACAAATGGAACGGTTTTGCCGAAAGTAATGTGGGGTACAATGGAGATAAATAATCGTACTGATGTGTATATGTAAGTATTATATGTGTACAGTTATTTGCAATTACTTGAAGTTATTTTCTTACTCTTATCAATTTCGACCATGATGACAGGGTGGAGATATTCTTGGAGCCTGGCACGGGAATAAATGTCACTCTAAAAGCCAATTACACTGATATGGAAGTACAATATTCCGGGACATTAATCTCTCATTACGAGGACGGAGAAACGAAATCCCGTGTGATCAGCGGTATCCGCAGAGAAGAAACTATGTTTGACGTAAAACCAGAATTTGGACCTATTTACTTCCTAAGTAATTATAGCTTAGTTCCTACCACCACGATACCGCCCACTACAGAAGCAACTACCACTGTGATGCCACAGGAGTATATTAAGGAAACTCACAAACAGGATATGGATAACGAAGACCACGACGAAAACATGATAATACCCCCAAAGAAGTCAGACATGTCGAACATGCAAAGTGACGACGGTGGTCCACTATCGCTAAAAAACAAGGTAGAAGCTTCGCATTCTGGAACATGTCTGCATAGATTAAACATTATATTTATACCTCTATTAACGATTATCGTCCATAGAATCACGTGAAAGTACAACTCCTAAAAAGAAAATCCTAAATCCTAAGTTGCAATAGTAATATATTCGTAGAACAATATTGAAGAAAGATAACAGAAAAAATATGAAATTGAAAAAATGAAATGTTGCTGTAATTTCGTACATAGTAATTATGGCACGAAATAAAGCTCCTTGGTTAAATTGCTGACTGTCAGGGCTGTGATGTCAGCGCTGACATATGCTTGCCTATAGCAAAGAAATACCTTAATGATGAGCTAGTCTCATGACAATGTTAAGTACAAGCGATCGCAGCCAATGTAAATGTTAACAGAAGAATCGTTAACATTACCTCTATTGTTGAATAACTGAATGTAAACTATGACATTCCGTCTTTACTAATTCCGCTGTGGAATCGAATCTCCAGCTAAACTATATTATGCCTTTGCAAAGTGTAATTCTAGATCATCTAGAAGACTTTAAATGGGAAGCTTGAAAAACGAATGATATCTTCTTTGAGAATCGTGTTCAAAGAGAGTTATACTTACTGCAGGTATTATCTCGGGCAACTAGCTTGTAAATGAAACGAGGGAGTAAAAGTGACAATGAAGGTTAAAAGAGATGCGCGAGTTAATGCAGCTACGGATATATTTTTGAGATTGCAGTATAATTTTAGAAAATTGTAAGATTTATAAAGGCATAGCTAGTAAGAATATGTAGAGTACAGGTGGATGGGTACAAGTATTTTTTCCAATGCTATTTTAATATCATTTACGTGACTGATAAAGTTTTCATAGGGCTTTGCCATAAGGTAAGGTAATAGTAAACGAAGCAAAATAATCCCAAGGAGAGCCAAGAATTTAGCATGTACACAATCTGAATAATATTAAACAAAAATTCGAATTTCCAAACTATTAATGCTTTGTTCTGAATTCAATATGAAGTAGTTTTTTGTGTACCCATCTGTCTCCCGTGTAAAGTGATTAGGGCTTGCAGATTCCTAGAAGATTACTATTAATGGAAATTGTAATGGAAAAGGAATGCAGTATTTTAATTTTGTATAAATGCGTTAATAATTCATAAGGTATAATTCCTTTGATAAGCGAAAGAGAAATATGGACTTTATTTAATTCTGTGTTTAATTTAAACATCTTTTAGTTGAACGTGTAATGCAAACAAAAAAAGGTAATATTTTCATACATTCTTGTATTTTCGATCATTTTTACTTGATCTATTGGTATGTATATAACATGTTTTTACATTCTTGCTGGGCATAATTGTTGTACACTTATTTAATAGTTTTTTCCCTTGATACTGATAATGACATTCTGTAATTATTATGTATTTTATTATATCGTAGTATCGATAGAAGTAACATGAAATATTCCATTGAAATGGAAACGGTTGGCCAAATCGATTTCTAATAACGTATATCAAGATAAGCCTAATCACAACATTGTGATATTCAATGAAATTTTACGTAGATGTAATATGATTGTGACATATTCTGTTGAGTAATTTGTTAATCGTCATAGAAAGCAATAATTTGTTGCGAGGTTGAAACATGTGAGTTTTCGAATGTTGCGTGTTTAAGTGAAACAAACGAAAAGTAGGTAGGAGGTGCAAGATAATACGATGTTTGATAGTGCGAGCAATATTTTCTCATTCTGAATAAAGCGATGTGTACTAAACATGGCCCAAAGAACTGAGTAACAGGTTTTCAGGATAAAACTGCAAATGTAATGGCAAAAGACAGAACAGTCTATATTTGGATAAAGAGTATATTGCTGCTTATTTTTTAGTTGCTTCTTCGAACTCCTGTATACCTTCAAGATGATATTAATAAAAACTACAATGGAAACAGCTGAATTTAGCGATGCCAAGAATTGTTCTTAGCTTCTATAACTATCTACATTCAGCAAATACGTTTTTTGTGAATGATCTATTATACCTGTACATTATCATGTAAATACAAATGCTATATATATGTAAAACTGTACCAGATTTTCAATAATTTATGCATGCACAACACAATCTTTTTTAATGTTGAACAGTGCACATTACATTGTTATTTTTTCTTAAATAAAATTATTCGAACACATCCCCCCTGCCCCATACATGTAATATTTTTGTTTCAAAATAAAAAACAATTATAATCAGAATAAATTGAAGGGTCGAGCAGCTGGTAATGTAATCATTTCTGACTTGTAATAAGTGAGTGAAATAGTTAGGAATATTAGAACTATTATTGCTATATTTATATAACATTCCTATAAGAAATATGCATTAATATAAAAAACTGACTTACCAAGAGCACCATACTGTTGAGGGGTTAATCTTACATCACCATCTGGACCTCCTGGAACAGAAGATATAAGTGATGCCCTATCACTTATGTGACTCCTACTGCTGGCTTCACTTCTTCTTGCCCACGATGCTTGTGACACTGCATCTATAGATACGACAGGAATGTTTTACATTACATTACAGAAAATATTAGATCGAGTCATGAACAACTTTTTCTCTGAGCAAAAAAACTATAGTATGTATGTAACTTATTCATATTAATTAGTACAGTTAATGGGCAAGATATAGGCAACATTTTTTAGTTGACTGTAAAAGAATTGTTCACACCTTGAGATAACATTTATAGAAAGATTTTGGAGCTTACTCAGAATTATAGGAAGCATCTGAACTCACAATGAAGTCTTACTAAAGTAAATTTAAACAGAAAGCAAGTTATTCATAACTTAACTCATTATCATCATTTGTACTTTTGTTCTATTTGACGTGCATTTAATGTCTACATAGAACTTCATACTTTGCTCTGATAAATTACCAAAGTTAGGATTCTTTGAGTTTGCATATCTTTGCTTTAAATCTCTCAGAGGTCTCCTCGAGGGAGGGAAAGGGTGTCTTCTTCGTCTTTTTAAGAACTGTGCTAAGCCTCCCAGTAACAACGATCCTCCAGTTAAACAGATAATGAAGATCTGCAAAGGAATACAAGATACTGTAAAACTATCGAATTGAAACGAATATTCCGAACGATATGTGTACAATAATTTCTGAAATCACAGATACACACAATATAAATTCACTCTTGAATATTATGTAATACTGATATTACCAAAAGTAAATATATTTATTCTAACCTCAAAAAAAGATACTTGCTTTTTGTGTTCTAGATAAATGTATCGACGGCAGTGAAATTATGTAACGTTTGTACAATGCACTTAAAAACTGCCGAGCGTTATAGACAGACATTGCAAATATTTATAATCAGTAGAAACGGATATTCATGCACGGCCCACCCCAAACAGCAACATTAATTTTGAAAAAAACAACTGCAATAGGTTTCGTTTGTGCGGCAAATATTCAAAGCGTAACCTGTTAGTATGTTCACTTAAGATGTACTAGTCGGTGGTACAATAATGAGAACTTAAGGATAGTTTCGATTTATTTGTATAATTGTCGTTACGATGAGGACGTACATTAAAACGATAAGACCAATAGAATTCGCAATGATTCTTAAGACCATAGAGGAAATGAGAGAAATGAGAGTGCTCAGGTCCGGGAATTCGTTGTTCTCGGTGGAGAAACGTAACAGTTCTTTACACGCGACACATAATCTGTATATTTTATATTAACGACATCAAAACAAAAATTCGATTTATATTGTATAAAGTGAAGGAATATTTAGAAACAATGAAGAATAATGAATAAATTAATGATTATAAATTATAATCTACATGTTACCTAGCAAATCATTGTTTTAGAATTTCTTGTTTCTTCTGTGTTCTTGTTCATTCCATGTGATAAGAGACCCCGTGTGGTGAGAACGTGGGGCCATGGAACCCCCGGTGGAGGCGCCAGAGACCCCGTATGGTTAGACGTGGGGCCATGGAACCTCCGGTGGAGGCGCCAGAGACCCCGTGTGGTTAGAACGTGGGGCCATGGAACCCCCGGTGGAGGCGCCAGAGACCCCGTGTGGTGAGGACGTGGGGTATACCATTTAATTTATTTTTTTTTTAAATCGTAAAAAAATATACAATATAAAATAGTTTTTGTGTGAACTTAACAACAATTGCCTTAAATACTACTTATATATACGATTTTATAGTATATTTATAGTAGTATTTGTACAAATTCAGTAAAAATAGACTGAAGTATTATGTAGCCTTATAAAATAATGTAATTTGTTCGTCGCAAACAATACCCTCCTCTGTAATACACACGTGGTCGAACGACGACCAACGATGACGAAAGTATATATGTACATACAGTTATTGTGGTTTTGTAACCTGAAGTATTAATTGAGTGAAAAATGAAGGGATTAACGAGAATTGTTTTAAAAATGACTGCATTGACCACTGTAGGCTTAGGTGGTTGGTATATTGGTAAATATTCGGAGGAAAAGAAACATTTGAATGAGGAAGAATATTGTCGAACGAGTATTCTCTCTGATATAAACATTAAAAGAATGCCTGGTTTGCCTTTGTTTGGAAAAGTTTCTGCAGCTACGACATTTGTTCCCGCAGAAACTGGAACGGACATGGGTTCAAAATTGTCATCAACCGCATCAAGAGTGTCCGAAGTAAGTTAATGTTTCTAAAATTTTCTAATTACCCTCATGGTTACAGGAATGCTGATAACTATTTTCTATCAATGGTCAGCTTTCATGAAACTTTTTATAGTTAAATAAATACTTTCATGTTTTCATAGATTATGAAATATGGTTTTCCTGGACTAGATCATGTCAGATCATACGAAGACTTTGTACTTTCCTATGACAGAAGAAATAGAATAGCTCATTGGGTATTTGAACATTTAAATAAGGATAGATTACAATACAATAGTGAAATATCACGTACTAAATGTGAATTTCAACCTGATCCCAGCATACATCCTTATTTCAGGTAGCTGTTCGAACTCTGTAGATACAAATATTATTAAACTAATGTCTTAATAAATTTTGCCAAAAATTAGGTCAGACAATAGTGATTATAAAGGTAGTGGATATGATCGTGGACATTTAGCAGCAGCAGGAAATCATAAGGTTCACCAACATCATGTAGACCAAACTTTCTATCTAACAAATATGGCTCCACAAGTGGGACGAGGGTTTAATAGGGATTCATGGAATAGACTGGAAAAGTATGTCAGGGGTTTAACTAAGGTTTATAAGGATGTATATGTCTGTACAGGGCCTTTATATTTGCCAAAGTAAGTATTAGCTTCTGTATTATGTACAGGGTAAGGCACATAAAACTGGCCACTTGAATATCTTGGCTGTTACTGGTGATAGAAAAAACTGTGTCAGACCAAACTATAACAATACCAAGACCAATTTGGTATCGAGAAGCACATAATCTGATGTGAAATGTGATAAGTGAATGTGTAGAGGTCATACAAAGGTCAACTTCGTTTTTTTTAAATGGAAAGACATGTGTTTTTACATACCTTTATAAATAGATCATTGTACGCATCCTTAAACGATCTACAAGATGATTCGTAAAACAATGTCTTTCCATTGAAAAAGACAAAGTTGACCTTCATACGACCTCTATGCATCTACCTGTTAAAAAATTATTTACATCAAATTATGTACTCCTCAATATCGTGCAAGTTTGGTCTGACACATTTTTTTCTACCACTAGTAACAGCTAAGATATTCAGGTGGCCTGGTTTAGGTATCTTATCTTGTATACATTTGTTTTTTAAACAATTGTGTTAGTAATGTAAATGCGTATAACATAGGAAAGAAGCCGATGGAAAGAAATATGTTCGTTATGAAGTTATTGGCACAAATCATGTTGCAGTGCCAACTCATTTTTATAAAATAGTTGTTGGTGAAACGCATGATTTAAAGTTAGAAATGGAAGCATTTGTTATGCCAAATGCTCCTATAAATGAGAATACACCTCTAACAAATTTTCAGGTATGTTATTATTTATTGCATAATTAATTCACGTAAATAATATTATGTAACTATTGTAGGTTCCACCAGAAAGTATCGAACGTGCTGCTGGGCTTTTATTCTTTGATAAGATATCCCGTGATAAATTAAGTAAAGTAAATGGAAAAAAGATCGGTTGGAGTTAATAACTGCATAAAACAAATATTTTAGAAGAAGTCAAATAGAAATGTAAATATTATTTATGTCCATCTAGTCAAATTGTTAACTATTTTTAAATAATATTTTTACATATAATTATTTCGATGTTTTATTTGATTAATGATACTATTTTAGAAACAATGTTTACATCGTACTGTTATACATGTGCTGTAAGAGACAAATATAGAGACTTAGATGTTTTAAGTTTTATTGTTTTTGTACATTCAATCGTTAAAATTATTATAATTATTTATCCACATATATTGCATGTTGTCACATATTGTCATAAAATAAGTACTCATGTGAAAATTTGCATGCACACATTATTTTTTGAATTCTTAGTACCCAAAATTTCAGTCTTGGAAGTAAATATTGATGATATTCACTTTACAGCATACACTGAGTGCAGATTATTGTTTACAGTTTAATAGTGTAATATGGTAATTCTTATCTACTCACGGAATAAATTTTGTTTTTTAATGATACCACATTACACTATACAGCGTTTTCTACACAATGTAAAACATTTATCTGTCGAATATGTTATATTTATTAAATATTAACATGCCTGAAAGAAACGTACTTGGTATAATGATAACAGTACCAAGACGTAATTTTCAATTAAAAATTTTGTTTCTATAATCTGATACCATGAGTTCAACCTAATTTAGATTTAATAAATCAGATGAATAGTACGCTGAAGTTCAGATATTTAAACGGTAATATTAACAAGACACGTCTTTTTCTTTCTATAAAGAATTATGATACTTGCTCCTAGTTATCAACATACTAAAATCCTATTGAAAGATGATGATACTTTCTTTATAAACGGCTACATCAATTATATTAACAGACGAGAAAAATCCTCGCTATTACTTTGGTCGTGGTAGTAACTAATTACGTACCAAATAATATTCGTTATTAAATACTATACTCATATAAAATGCTATTGGTAGAATCGTGTTAATTTCTTTAACTTATGGTCTAGTTTATGTACAAAATTAACAAGCGCGGTAACACTACGAAACGTGAAAATGCACCGACGATAAGTACTTTGTGAGTAGAAACAGACATCCCTTACGATATTTTTACAAAGATTCGACGTCTCTGCCATTAACCCTTTGAGTGCTATAGGCGCACATATGCGCTAAATTAAAAATTAAATAATGTTTATGTAACTAAAGATCACATTAGGGATCAAGTTACACGCGTTGTATAGAAGTATAGATAATTATCTATTAAATATATAATAAAAATTCTGTAATTATCGTCATTATGGATTGAGCATCGTCCATGGTAAACGTTCAGTTTTCGAATACTCCGCAGTCAAAGGGTTAAGCCGTAGCGCATCTACTCTAGAATATTTTCCAACGATATCTGCATTAGCTGCCCGATATCTAAGCAAGCAGAATGAGAATAATTAATACCATTATGCTTCAGAGATCTCAATACACGCACCCGAGAGTTCAACGCTCTTCTGAAATACGTGCTCCTCGACGCACGATATTCACTGCTTATAAATAAAATCTCCTTTAAGTAGGGTAAATTAGGCACTAATAATGGACGGGTCTCGTTGCTTTAAGAGCTTCTTTCGAGTATTGCTTGCGTGATAAGGACACTTAACAGAGCTTTTTAAGTACACTTTGTGTAGTTTTTTATGATCCCATTGAATCATACGTGCGACCGACACTCAAACGTGGCATTTATTTCCTCGAAATTTTTTCGTAATACGGGGTGTAATAAAAATGTTGGAGGACCCTAAAATGGCAGACTCGTGAGGTGATTTGAAATAAGTTTTTCCTTAGTAAAAATATTTTCCGAGGCTTTGTTAACGAGATATTAACGAAAAATCCCTACCAATCGCAGCGCGTAGCTAATGTTACCGCGGGAACTCGGCTGGCAGACTTGTGCTCTGATTGGTCAGGGTTTTTCGTCAATATCTCGTTAACAAAGCCTCGGATAACATTTTTGCTAAGGAAAAACTTATTTCAAATCATCTCACGAGTCTCCCATTTCCGGGTCCCTCAACATTTTTGTTACACCCTGTATTCCGTTCTCATAGTTTTCACGTGCCTGCAACCGTACCCGGTTCTCAACCGACACACTCGAAATCGCTATTGAAACAGCTCTCTAACGTTGGTTCGTTTTTAGCGTCGCTCTTCAAAATTCGGTTTTTCGTATCTGGCATATATTGTTCACTTAATTTCTTAGGTCAATTTCATAATACCGTGATACGGGACGTGGACTAGAAAACGCGATGAAACCTTGTAATTTTTAACCTGCCGTTCCAAAGCGGTCCTTCGAGTTCGTTCTCTTCAATCGTCGACGAGTACCGCGGCATATGTTGCATGTTTTCTTTCTTTTTTGTTTTTCTTTCAAACGACTAGGATTCGCGGACACGGGACATATACGGTACCGTGGTTCCTCCAGCACGAGAAATTTTAAATTAATCTCTCTTCCGGCGGCGGCTTCATCACGTTGTCCATCTCGACACGGGGATTACTGAACTCTTGAGCGCTGGGACTGTACGTTCCACGGGTCGCTCGTTTCTTCCTGGCCATCATAAACAAGGCGATCAAAGAACCCGCCGCGATTAGAAAGAGACACCCGACAATAGGACCAACGATCACAGCTATATCGAGCGCTTGGCTTCCCAAAAAGTTCTCCGTCTGCGTAGGATTGAAAACGAAAAGATTAACATAAAACGTACCTCTGTGCAATTTTGTCCGGTGTATTCTGGAGTACACTGACACCTGTATCCGCCGTCATCTCCGCATTTGCACGTACCGCCATTTTGGCAATAATCCTGCCGGGACGAAACAAAATATTACGTATTTGTATTTGTACAAATGAATTTTTCCAAGCATATTAATTGTACTAGAGACACAAAAAATTCAACTAGGTGCACACCTCTTTGCACGGATCCATCATTCCACAATTGTATCCACAATAACCCGTGTCGCAAATGCATTGATAAGTTCCTGGTAAATTTTCACAGCGTCCGTGGCCGCAATCCGTAGTTGGATCCTCGCATTCGTCTATATCGTAAGCACAATCTGGCCCCGTGTAGCCAGTATCGGTGCAGTCGCAGGTGAAGTTGTTTACGCCGTCGTAACATTTCCCGTCGTTCTTGCAGGGAACGTTTCCCTCAGCATCGGGCGCGCAGTCGTCGATATTAATTTCGCAATAAAGTCCGGAGTAACCAGGTGGACATGTACACTTAGGTGTCTGTAAATGCAACAGAAAATCATTCAAAATCATTCAAATTACCGACTACTTTCCCATGGAATTACAGGAAGTATCATAATACATAAAGTAACAACGACGTTCACCTAATTGTTTCGTTGATTCTAATATTGGTAACTCAAAAACATTACCACTTTTACAACTTTTAACTAATTTGGTAAATATTTAAAATAACGGAGCCACCTCAGATTTCGATAATTTTTTAATATGTTGTCAAGGTTATCATCACCCTGAGTAATATTTTGAAGGTTTTAGTTGGGGGTCGCCGTTTGTAAAAAAGTTATTATCAAAAACGGTTAAGTATCGTACTTCAGTAGTATTGATAAGTAAAATGACTGATGACCTTGACATATGTCGTCAAGATCACCCTCCTGAGTGACCTTCAGAAAGTTTCAGTCATCAAATGTTGTTTGTTAAAAAGTTATCAAGAGTTAACAGTGCGTACCTGATACAAGAAATCGCATCTGCCACCGTTCTGACACTTTCGCCCGATGCAATAAGGAACATTACAGACCGAGCCTTCGTAGCCGGTCATGCAGGTACAGGTGAAATTGTCGCCGGTCTGAGTGTTCACCACATCCGTGCAAACGCCGTTTTTGCAGGGCTCGTTCTCGCAGGTGATCAATCGAAAGTTCTGGCACAGTTCGCCGGTGAATTGGTCCGGGCACTCGCACCGGAAATAACCGGGAAGATTCACGCACACACCGTCGTGCTGGCAAGGGCTGAGCGTCACGCACTCGTTTATGTCGCTGTCGCATCTAGCATAAAGATAAGAGCGATGAGCAAACAAGATATCGCGAGCTCGGTCGTGATTGTTTACAAAATTCCGAGGTGAGAGTTCTTATTGTTAGAATAACTTTGGAATCTAAAGTAGACCACACTGTTTCTCTATGTGCTATCTGGGAAGTTTGATGCAAGATTTGCTAGGCAGCAAATTGGCTTGCGCAAACCTTGTTCCGGTTTTGCCTCCAATTTGACAAAGATCATGTTGCAAGACTTTCTGCCAATTTGCTTTACCACCATGTCGCTTGAAGTATTGGACTTGTGACATTTTTCTGAATGGTGGAACTACGTATTGGAAGATATATTATACGATAAAATAAAAAATTTACAATTTTTTACTTGTGACACTTTTCTCACGAGCGTACGATATGTTACCAAATAAAATTGGTGTCCTGTGCTGGACCCCATAAAGAGGTTCAGAATAAGTTTTCTAAATGTATAAGGATCAGAGCGACCAGTGTGGCACAATATTTTCCGAGGCATTCTAATGTAACTCAACGAAACGTTTAACAGAATACTAACAGCCATCCTTGCCATCCGCTGTTACACACGCATGTGTAATTAGCTATCCCATCTATACACGTCGCTTCGTTTTCACACTTGTTGTCGATGCATTCGTCGATGTTGAAGGAACAATCGTCCTCCGTGTAACCGGCGGGACATTCGCAAACGTAACTGCTCGCTATATCGAGGCAGGAACCGCCGTTCTTGCAGTCCGTGTCGAAGCAAAGCTGGCAACCAATACTGTCATGATGCGTCGAGTTATTCTCTTGCATCGCCAGATATTCCAACGGCGTGAAGTTGGCGTTTTGGTAGACCTCTTCGTACGTGAAATAATGTAACAGCATGCTGCCTATTCGTACTTCGCCCAAACATCCTTTGAAAGCTTCGCCTGCAGAATAAAACGTGTCTTCGTATCAGTGAACGTGAAGATGTAATATACAGGGTGCCCCACCTAACGTGAGAACTTTGAATATCTTACTTGCTTCTGATTTGCCGAAAATTTATTTTAACAAATGCTCAAAGTGATGTCTATCAACTTCGATACATGTTTATTTTATTATTTAAATCTACTCCCTTATATTTATGGATATATTCTATACTCAAGTTCACACGAAGGTCATACTATATAGATCATTGCATTGGTCTTGACTAAACCATTACACCACGATGATAAAAATCTGTATTCCCCTTTAAAGGAACATCAATGACCTCGAGATTTCGATAAATATGACCCTGAGAAACATTTTTCCTTATCATAATATTTGCTCCTTTCAACCAAATAATACTTTTCCCTCGCATTTTTTTGTATCTTCAAAAACAAGTGACATATTGATGGTGTTCATGTTAGGTAGGACATTCTCAGAAGTTCAGGCCGCAGCACGTTACCTGACATCACGTTATGAGGCGGCGAAACGGTGGTCAGCACACGTTCGTTAAAGTCTATCGAGTTATCTTGAATACCGCTTCTATTTTCCAGCATTTGTTTACTAGAACCGATTGTCACGTAGCTGTGTCGATCGGACAAATTCGAGCCAAGCCCGCCAAGGGTGACCGTGCCGGTGACCAGTAGATCGTACCACAAAGCGAAATTGAAATTCGAGCTAACATGCGAGGCAGCATCCTCGTTCGCGTTCGCATACTCGCACTCCATCGAGTTGTTGTTCAACCTCAAAATTATAGAGGTCCAGTTGCCGTCAGCTTCGACCTTGCCGAATGCCAGCGTACCCTGATTCTGCATGTCGAGCCGCCAGGATACGGTGACTTTGTCCTTGTAAACGGAAACGGTGAAATGTTGATCGCCGATTCGAGGTGCAATATGCATCAGTGTACCGCCGGTGTTCGATCGATAGGTGATCTGGATCGTGTCGATCGTCGAGTCTGTCACATTCTTCTCCTCCACCTGATTGTAAACGTAGGTGAATGATGTGGTCACGCCGTCGAATGTAGCGTTAGCGATGCACTCGTAGCCGTCGTCTAGATTCTGGCACTTCGACCCGGCTGGACAATCTTGCAGTTGACAGAATTCCATTTCCTGACAGGTCTTGCCGGTATATCCCCGCGGGCACTGGCACCAGAAGTCGTTCCATGTCACGTGACAGGTACCGTTGTGATTGCACGGATTGCTGACGCATACGTCATCCGAGACTACGCCCTTCAGGACTTTGTCGTATTCGAAGGTGACGTTGCCGAATTGTATCGGGGTGGGAATATCATTTGCCTGGAAAAACATTGAGTTGATGCTTGAAAAATATGTTTAAACCAGGGACTTCTACCGAAACGTAAAATACCGGTATTTTCAGTTTTACCTTCGCCCTATATAACCCTATATAAGCCCTACACCCTTATATAAACCGAAAAAATACCGGTATTTATTTGACGGTTTAAACTGGACCTGCGGATTTTAATGCAAAGTAATATAGTCTAAAGTAATTTAGACAAGAGTATGTTAGCATCAATTCTTTTATGAAAGAAGATGCACGTGTAATCGGAACCTTAAACATGCCATCGGTGTTTAGGTTAGGTGGCGGCTCGAGTGGCGATACTTGGCTGATTCCTCGCGGCCTCGACACGCATATTTACAATATTTTATCGGCTGTAAGTGCATAAAATCCGCAGTCTAGTTTAAGCACACGGATAAATGTGTTGTTACCTTCAGAGGGAAGAATTCAACGACCATGGTCTCGACGCCGTTCGATATCTGGACATCCTGAATGATTCCCTTGAAGTTCACCTGCGAGGCTTGCGGCACTTCTATCTGCCGATTGTCGACTTGACGTATGTACCTGGACGCCTGTGGTAGACCTCCCAAGTACAGAACGGTCACGTTCAATTGACCGGTAGCGCTGATAGTCTTACGGAAATATTCAGTTCCATTTATCTTCACTTGAACCAACGTCACGTTTCTGATCACCTGTATCAGGTGGTTGTTACCGTCGTTAAGTTTCACTCCACCGACCGTGTAGGCCTCTATGCCGTTGAATTGAATCCGAACGAGTAATTCACCGCCCTCCAGCTGAGCGGCTATATACGTTTTCTCCTGAGGCTTGTAATCTGTCTGCGAGCTCGGCTCCGAGCCCAGATAAAATATGTCACCTCTGTCTTGTCTCGTGCGGATGAACATAGAAATGTCGACGATCGATCTGACCGCGCTTCGCGCCATATCGGTCACCTTCACTGTCACGTATCCGTTCGTGATGTTCTCGTATCCGAATGTGGCCGCCGTCATATTGTATTGACAGGTGTGACCTAGATATGGTCGCTCGCATTTGCAGGAGAAATCACGCCAACGGTCCGTACAGTGTCCACCATTTTTACAGGGATTCGGTGAACATTGCGCCTCCCGAGGGCAACCCGGTTCAACGTCTTCCATGTACACAGTTTTCGACGACGTGCCGGAATATACCTACAAAGTATCTTCACTTAATATAGAAACATTATTCGACGATATTTGTTGCAATATCTTAACAAATTTTATGGAAACAGTATATCCTTTTAACCTAGGGATACTGTCTCTGTCCAGTCCCGGGGTGTTCAAGTCCTCGCTAGTACATGTTAATCTCGGCTTGTTCTTCTCCCTGACAAGAGGCTTTCAGCCAAGCCAGGCAAGTCGTTTCTCTAAGAGCAAAAGTCTCTTAGTGGAATTAGTTTGCGAATGCAGGCATACACGTCTGAATGTAAAGCTCTAGAAACTTTACCTCAGATTGGACCAATGTTTCCATTTTTTAAATTCAAAAATAACTGTACAAAGTTGAACATCCCTGGACCAGTCTTAACTATTCGGCTGCAAGCATAAAATCCTACATACCCATTCGCCATTAATTACAACGTCCTCGGTGCATCCCACAAAGAAAGATGGACCGTGGGTTAATCGTCGTAGGTAGTTGGTAGTGCCGCCGACGTAGGTCATCGGAAATGACGTATGATTGGAATTCGAGCCCTCGTTCAGGCTGATCGGATAAATCGTCTGTTCCTCGTTAGCCGAGAGCACCAAATGAGTGGTGTTGATCGCGACGAACACTTTTTGCCAAGTGGAATCGTTCAGATCGCCACCGATGAACACCCCCTCCCACTTGTTCAAGAGGCTCGAGTGCAGATTCAATTTGCCGTCGACAAGCTCCAGAATATAGAACGTCGATCCTTTTCCGATAGCGAGCAACCCGTTCGGCAGGGTCGTACGAAAACGGAACTGTATGTCGTAGCCTTCGTCACGGCTGGTGTTCACCAGGACATACGAACTGCCGCTCAAGGACATCGTTGTTACCTGCAAGAGATACATGGAGAATTACACCGATGGGTAAATACATATTTGCATAATTTCAACTGTTCACCTTTACGCACCTTCTCCTGTGAATATTGTGCAAGAACGAGGAGTGCAATTAGAGGAAGTAATATACGTAGATCAAATAAGTGTGATAAATCGAGGAGTCCAGTGAAAGAGGGAGCTATGCTACAACAATAGCGTTTTTAGATATTAAAACTTTTATGAAAAATAGTGCACATCATAGTATACTACGATTGTACATATAGGGTGTACCAAAAAGAAGAATACTCTAGATTAACGTTGAAGGATGAAGTTTAAAAAGAGGCATTTGATGATGTATACAGATATTTAGAGGCAGAAATTTTACCAAGTTATTAAATGAGGGATAATTAGTTAGACACCAGAAGATTCTGGAAGACATAAAAATCTAATATTTCAATATTTTGTGGCATAGCTCCCTCTTGCACTGGACCCCTCCATTAGTAGTATCGTTCCGTTGAAATTCTCTACCTTCCTACTTGTGCAGAATATTACATCATAGATGTTCTTGGTTTTCTTCTTAAAACTATACACATCGATAACGACACATTCTTCACGAAACTAAAACCATTCAACTACACATGACAGACTTACGTAATCGCAGATTTCCCCGTGGTACCCATTCGGACAGGTGCAGTTGAATTTATGTATTGTCTCGTCGACGAGATACGGCCAGCACGTGCCGCCGTTTTGACACGCGTTCCCTTGACAACCAATCAGCTCCACCGAACAATTCTTTCCGCCGTACTCTGGTTCGCAAGTGCACGTGTAGTCGGCTCTGCCATCCGTACAGGCACCGTGCTCGCAGGGCGTGTACCGTTTGCACTCGTCGATATCATGCTGACAATGATCGCCCTCGTAACCCTCGTCGCACTCGCAGGTGTACCCACCGATACGATCCACGCAGGTACCGGCCTGACAAGGACTGCTATCGCACTCGTTGATGTTCACCTCGCAATTTTTCCCTGTCACGCCTTGCACGCAGAGACACTCGTAACTGAAATCATAGAGGAAATGAACAATTACACTGTGCAACAAATTGAAACATTTTTTTCTGACTTGCAACATTCTCTAAGCGATCTCATTTCAAACGCGAATTCGGTAGCAGAATTGCTCTGTTATCCTCGGGTTTTTGAAAAACATGGGATTTGAGAAAAAAAACGCGAAATTTTGAATTACGATACGGAAATGGATACGCAGTTTTAGAAAGTTCAATTTAGCCTTCAAAGATAGAGGAGAGTTTCCGGAATATATCAGTGGCCATTACGTGCCTAATAATTCGTCGGACGAAGTTCGTGTATCCGAGCTTGCGAGGGAAATCCCACACGCTATGGCTCTCGATAATTACCCGTTAGAAAATCTGGTCCGCAGGCGAATCTTTTCTCTCGTGGAACGGAGTTTAGAGCTCCAAATCCGGGTAATTATCGCGAGTTTAATGCATAAGGTATCGAGATTAGAAGAACACATAATTCAAGGTATATCAAAATTACCGTCACCTACCCGCTCGCGTTTGCATAGCTGAATTCCTGATTGAAGATCAAAGGTAACATCAACGCGTCGCTCTTGTACAATTCCCTGTTCGATCGCTCGAGACAAGTGCCATTGTATTGGCAAGGCGAGCTTTCGCATTCGTTTACATCAACCTCGCAATTTTTGCCAGTATAGCCGGCGTAACATTGACACTTGTAGTTTTTGATATCGTCTATACATAGAGCGCCGTTCGTGCACGGCTCCGAGCGGCAGTCGTCGATGTTCTTCTCGCAGCGGGCACCTTCGAACCCGGTGTCGCTGCAGTCGCACGTGTAATTGTTTATACCGTCGATGCACCGGCCGTGATTTAAGCATGGCGAGGACTCGCAGTCGTCGATGTTAACCTCGCAATTAATTCCGCTGAAGCCGGGCGAACAGGTGCACGCGTAGCTGGCGATCTCGTCGACGCAGATCGCGCCATTCAGGCAGGGATTACTCTCGCACTCGTTCACGTCCACGTCGCAGGTCTTGCCGGAGTAGCCGGGCGGGCATTGACACTCGAACGTGTTGATACCGTCGATGCAGGTCGCGTTGTTCTTGCAGGGTCCGCACAGGCACTCGTCGATGTTGATATCGCAATGGTCACCGGAGAAGCCTGGCGTGCAGAAGCAGTTGTAGCTGCCGTCCCTGTTCACGCAGATACCGTTGTTGCACAGCGAGCTGCCTTTCACCTCGCATTCGTTCACATCGTCCTCGCAGAGCTCTCCTACGAATTTTAGACGTTTTGTGTGATTAATGCATTAAGAGTGAGACGGCCTTAGGTCAGTGTTGTCCAAATGCTGCTCACGAGCAAATCTTTCCCATCGGAGATATAGCCACAGACGAGACATAAGAATAAACTTAACATCCAATCTAATTTTCTGTCCCATACTTCAGGAGCATCAGAAACCCCCGTACTATGTCAGTATTCCATTCCCTGTTAGCGAAATTGGGACAATAAGTGTCGAACGTAGTTCCTGAAATCGGAAACTTTTATGTAGAAGTGCGTTCGAACCAGCGTGAGTTTCATGGGACATCAACTCCCGTAAGAAGTTAGGTCTATTCTTATATTTCGTTTGTGGTATAGCTGCTTCAAAGATATAGCGTTAGCCATAAAAATGGCCGACTCAAACGGAACATGTATGTTCATAACCTTACTATCTAAGGCTTGACGTATTCGAATGAAATTTCTGATTTGAAACTACGATTTAGAAGATCGTATTAACTGTAGTTGTTCCGTTGAAATTTTACAAAGTTTATCTTTGTGCCTGATGTAAGCTTAGCTGGATCTCATCTTATCTCGATTGCAATAAAGATAACGGACACTGTTGCTATCGAAGTATGTTGATATAATTTTCATTTTTACAACACGGTATTACGCGCGAACAGTGTCAGATTTGTCGGAAATTCAAACAGTATTAGAATGAATGAAAAATTTTTATGAACTGTGGAAATTAGCGCAAAATATGTGGAAAACTGTGTCCCCGGTGATGTTCACCTTGAAAGCCGTCCTTGCAGTTGCATTCGAAACCACGTTCTCCGAGATCGATGCAGGTGCCGTTGTTGCACGGTTTCGCCGCGCAATGGTCAACGATCAGGGTGCAATTTGGGTCCCTGTAGCCCTCGTGGCACTTGCATTCGTAACCAGCGATTCCGTCGACGCAGATCTTCCCATCCGGGCATATCACGTCGACGCAATCGTCTACGTTTATGTCGCAGATCTTGCCCTCGAAGCCGGGCGGACACTCGCAGACGAATTCCCGTCGCGATCTAGACATCAGCGTGCAGTTACCGTTGTTCTGGCAAGGATTCAGGGCGCACGCGTTGTATTCACGCTCGCAATTCTCGTCCATGTAGTCCTTCGTGCAGTTGCAGGTGTAACCGTTGATCCGGTCGATGCACGTGCCGCCATTTTGACAGGGCTGCGACAGGCACTCGTCGACGTTGATCTGACAGTTCTTTCCTGTTTGGACGGGAGCAGATTTTATTGAAATGTGTGTAATATTCGTTACTAGAGTGCGGATTTTTTATGAAAAATCACATTTTAGAAGGTTGTTCATAAAGACAAAAACAAACTTAGGGATTTCTTTCTTCCCTTAAGTATCGTATTGTCAGTTTAGAATCCGAAAGGCATTTTGTTGAATCGATACCAGTGCAAAAAAAAAAAACTCTAGTATTAAGTGGTTAAAAACGTAATACTTGTTTGACGTAATTCGAAGAAAATGTGAACTGCTAAATTCTATGAAATTATATTAAAGCGTGATGGGTACTGATTTGGTAAATGACGTCCTACACGTATGTACTTTGATCAAATAAAGCCTTAGTAATTTCTATACGTGTCGGCTAATTTTGATTATACATATAAGTGCCTCCTACATAAGACACAATTTGTATCCATTTCAATCACGAATGTTCCACCTGTTCGTTTACTTTTGTGTCGCGGTGTAAATGCAAGAATCTCATTTAATCCTACCGATCGTCGTGTCGATTATAGAGAATACAATATGATTGACAATTAATCACAGCGACGTGAGCATATACAAGTGTGTATGACAGATCGTGGGATACAGTTAAGACGGTATTATGCGTTGCTGAGAATTTGTCCAACGATACAGGATAGAGGCAAGAGGGGTATTTCGCTTGCTCTGCTTAAGTCCACCTGTGACCCACCCTCCAAGTAATGGTCATACGCCCCATCTCCACAATTTCGTTAGAGAAGGTGATCCTACGAAAATTTACCTCCAGCTTGCCATATTCTGAGCAACGTATAACAGTAGCGTAGAGAGGATCTTCAAGCAAAGCGAGTTAGGGGTACAGATTTTGGACGAAGGACAAGGTCGCGTAATCAGGGATGATTACCAGTGTATCCCGGAAGACATTGACAGTAGTAGCCATTCAGTTGATCGATGCAGATGCCAGCGTTGCGGCACGGATCGCTGGAGCACTCGTCCACGTCCAGGGAGCACTCCGGGCCTGTCCATCCTGGTTCGCAGGTGCAATAATAGCCGCCCGGCTGTACGGACCGGTACGTAACAAACAAAGCAAGTGGCCACATAGAGACACGTTCGACGGGACACGGTCGATTAAACGGCGTTGTACGTGTGTGCATGCATCACCGACGCGGTAACAGACTCACTCACATAATCGTGGCAAGCGGAAGCTTGTTTGCACGGTAGATCGCGACAGGTGATCGGTTCCTTGCACTGGGGCCCGGTCCAGAATCGCGGGCATTGACACATGATACCGAAACGGATCTCGAGGCAACTGCCGCCGTTGTAACAGGCGGAACACCATTCCGATGCGGCCGAGAGGCATGTCGCTCCTGACAGACGGCACACGTGTGACACAGAAACATTTTGGTTAGACAACACAAAACACACAACGATGGACAAAACTTTGATGACATAGGAGGAAGGGGGGTAGGACGTACGCGAGAAGAAATAGCACGGAAGTGGTGTGAAGTTAGTTACGTGTGGACGAACATGCTAGTGTGACGGTTTCAGAAAATCGGATTTTTCTTTTTTGCAATTTGCAACAAGTTTTTGAGGAAGCGGAAGGTGTTTTATATGGCCCGGAATAGGTGAATAGTTGTAACTATGAAACATTTCTCTTTTTATGCTCTAAAACAGTACTTGAAACTTTGATCGCGTTTTTCTTGCAGCTACTTTTTCTTGATTAAAACAAAATTTGATCCACTTCTCAAAAAGTTCGCCATCACTGCTCTAGAACCTTTCTCTGATCTTAAGGTGAGTATCTACTAAATAAAACTCTCATGCACATCGACCTTGACGATCATATACATATGTATAGTTTGCTCCTCGCTTACCCTTCCATTCAGGCGGGCAAGTACAATTATACCCGTCCTTGTTGCTGGTGCAGGTGCCACCGTTGACGCATGGATTACTTGCGCAATAATTGACAGTGCAGTTCGGTGGATTGCCCATAAAGCCAGGATTACAAACGCACTGGGGCCCGTGTGCATCCTCCACGCAGATACTGTTCTGCGGACAGGCGGCGTTCTCGCAGAGGCTCCTGAGGTCGCAGTGCCTGCCAGCGTATCCAGTCGGGCAATTGCAGTGATAGGAGCCGACGTCGTCGACGCAATCGCCGCCGTGCATGCACGGATGCGACAGGCACTCGTTCAGATTCAACTCGCAGTTCTGACCCTCGAAACCGTACGGACAGTGACAGATGTAGCCGCCGTAGTTGTCGTAGCAGATCCCGTTGTTCAGACAGGGATTCGCCAGACACTCGTCGATGTCGATCTCACAGTTCAGACCCTCGTATCTGTAATAGCGAGGACGTTGTTAAACGCATTTTTACGAATTGATTATTTAACCATCGGAGGGTGGACGTTATTGGTGGTCGAATAGACGGCGGTTCCTAGGTCCAGATAGACTCTACGCATCTGATTTCCTCAAATGTATTTCCGAATGAATTTCACACTATTAATTATTCATTTAGACTGAAAGATGTCTTAATCATATATGGATGCTGTGCCCAGTCAGCTAAACCTGTAAAGCCACATTTAGTCCAATACCTGTTGTAAGATTATGGCTACAAGCTTAATGTAAGATTTGCTACAAACAACTTGCATGCACATTGGCAGCAAAATATGCAACAAGGCTTGCGGAAACCTTGTTCTGGTTTTTCCCTCAATTTGACATAGGTAATGCTGCAAGACTTCCTGCCAATTTGCTTTACCATTTTGTTAGCAGGCATAGCAGAACCCAAGTCAAATGCGGAAACAGATGGCTATGGTTTTTTCGACAACTTTTGTCATTTATTGCTGGCAATTCGCTCGAAACTTGCATACAACTGGTTATCAGGGCATCTTCATCAACAATCACGGATCACCTACCCTGTCCTATCGCAGAGGCAGGTGTAGTTGTTGATTCCGTCGATGCAAGCACCGCCGTTTCTACAAGGATTCGAGGAGCACTCGTTGATATTGGTCTCGCAGTTCTTCCCCGTCCATCCAGGTAGGCAGTCGCATTTGTACTCGCTGTCGGTCAATGCCAGGCAAACACCATCGTTCCTGCACGGGTTCTGCTCGCAGAGACGCACGCCTAGCTGCGACTCGCAGAAGCTCCCGGTGAACCCGGGTTTGCACGCGCAACTGAAGTCCCCTTTCTGATCCTCGTTGCAGGTGCCGCCGTTTCGGCACGGGTTGTTCAAACACGGCGGACCTGACGAACGAAAGTATTTTTAGAAAATTTGATTGTATGATCGATAGAGGATTAGGAATTAGCGAAAAAGAGCCCATAGAACCAAATGAAAGTTCTGTGCGGAAGCAGGTTACGCCAGTGAGCAGCCCGAAAATCCAAACACCTGTTGTCGATCGAAGGAGATCGGTTGTGGGAGGGAACAGGCAGTAGAATGTTGATTGGCTGTTGATAGTTGTTTTTAGGATTGAATACAGCGCGGGATAAAATAACAGTTTCATATATGTAGATAGGTGGTGGTGTTGTGATACAGCGATTGAGTATAGTGTGAAGAGAAAAAGATGTTAGTTACGTGTTAATATTATTATTGCTTCATTTATATAAGGTATTGAATGCCCTGTTATTTGACGAGAGTTCGAAACGGATTTCTTCCGAAGAATGACGTTATTTGGCCGTTTATTTGCCGAGGTGATTAACTCCACAAACATTATCAAGGAAATTTATTTTTAAAAAGTTAAGCTCCAATCAAGTGCTGTGGCACTAAATGTTGCAAAAAATTCAGATAGTCGAGCTAGTCACTTTGGCCTATGTGTCACGGCTTATTTTATTGTACATCGAGTAAGAACAAATTAGACAAAAAAATGCGAAGTTACAGTGTGTGCATATTTCGAATAATGTATAAAGGTACGTTTTCACGTGACAGTATAAGTCATGACTTTTGTTATCGTGATACTATCCGTCAATGTAAACCAATGTGACGTCAAGGCGACATCTAATTTTCACGACAAAAGTCATAACATTTAGTGTGATGACTGTAAAAGTCTCGATTTACTGTCACGTGAAAACGTACCTTAAATGATAAATTTGAGATGCACTGTCACTTTATCCCGCGCAGTGGAGGACAGTAAAAAGTACTAAGAAAGCTTTTCCGTCGAAGGAGAAAATGAGTGTGTGAAGTAATGGGAACCATATCCATGATTTCTTATGATTGGAATTAAATGACTGAAATGATCGAGTATGAAGTATTCCCAAATCAATTTTCTATATTCGGAGGGTCGATTGCATAATAAACCATGCGACGTCCACTTTAAAATCCAGACTAAAACCATTTAATTAAACAACTAATAGCATTTCCCTAGAAATCTGCAAGCCCATAGAGAAGAAAAATCAAGAAAAGAACAATAAAACATACACATGAAGAATAACGAGAAGAATTCATGGCCAAGCGATTACTCTACAGACAATCTTCATTTCGAATTTAATTTTCAGTTCTTACACGTCACGGTGATATTTCTTCACCTTAACACTTAAGGAGATTAAATAATTGTTTACAAAGTGTCTACTCATTCAAGAAGAAATAGGTATTATTCTATTATAGAAATTGGAATTTCCACGTTTTACGACACAATTGTCAATTTCTTGTCATCCGTCAAATAAGCGTCGAATATCCTCGTGTTTTTCGTGTTATAAATAATATTTTTCCATCAGGTGGTGCAAAAATATATATATAAAAAAAAAAAAAAAACTAGAACGAAATAAATCGTAACGCGCAGTTCTACTAGGCCATAAATCCGTATCTCGTTTCTCCGACCGATCGTGCCAAAACCTCGTGTACGAGATCGAGGTCTACCATTGTCAATTTGACAGTTGTTGCCGGAATATCGGGCGTAACAGTGGCACTCGTAACGATCCTGCCGTGACACGCACTTGCCATGCATCATGCATGGCTCGTGATGGCAGAAATCCATGGTGGTGATCGCGCTCGGTCCTACACCACCTCCGAGTCCGCTGGTACCACCTGAAAGTTTCGGAAAAGAAGAAAAACATCCGCCATGCAAAGTTCTACACGCTTAAACGATCTGCGCGCACGCCTACGCAGGATCGAGCTAAGTATACGTAAATGCCGTGATTTTTCACACTGGAAAATTGGTGCAGCGATATACAGACTCCTCTCGATTATTGTCTGGATTATTCTACACGATTATTGTCCAGGCATAATACCCACCACTTGGAGGCGTGGCACCTATTAAGTGTATATTTTATTGCCCCTTCGCTTTTGTTGTCGAGATTGGGGTTCTAGACAAAAAAACGAATTTATTGGGGTCTGAAGTATTTCTCCCTATTTAATTATTGTCCCGGCGAGGACACGAGTTCGGGACGATAATCGAGGGGAGTCTGTAGTACCAAAATTCTTGGACGCGTTTCCAAGCAGCTACGAGATCGTTAAATTCAAACACAATTCGCCAAAAACTATTACTCTTTACTCGACGGGATCGAGGTGTACAACTGTAATACGGTTGTTTATAGATGGAATGAAATTCTCGTTGTTATATAGGGAAAAGAATTTTTTAACCTCCTTAGACCCAGTGCATATTGCAATATACAATATTTTTAATGCTTATTCTTAAGGTATTTTATGTTTTTCATTAGATATTATTTATGGAAAATACAGCAAGTATATATAAATGGATTAAAAAGAACGTAAAACAGCTTTAGAATAAACGGTAAAATTGGTGTACTTTGTAATCTGCACTGAGGAGGCTAACAACAGATTTACCCGATTCGAATGACTGACTTAACTTTTGGATGCTGAATGTTACACAGAACGCTATTGAATTACTCGACTAGGTTTCAAATGGTATAGGAAAATTTGCATATTTATGGGTAAATCTTTTTAAATAGAAAACATTGCAGAAATTTCATTGAAAACAACTCGTTTACTGAATAATACTGACCCGTTCGCACAATCAAGGTTCCACAGTACTAACAAAATATTTTAAATGGGTTCTGTCGTAGTCAATTGTTTTTCGATTAATTATCGTTTTATTTTCCTCGATGCTATGTATTGTCTAAACTGAATTTACCGTCAACAAGTACCATTATTCACTTGCTGGCCTTTGTAATTAATAATATATCTCAAACATTTTGTCAATCATAGGTAACTCTGTGCATGAAATTCTTAAATCGTCCTGCAATCTGTGAGTTTTCGCGACATTTTCGGGATTTCTGTTCTGTTCCAGGATTATGGCTACACTACTTTCTAGACGAACACTGAGATCCTTACATCCTTTATTTTCCGCGGGACAGGGACCGAAGACGGCTCCATTGTTGATAGTGTCGTTAAAAAGAAAGCCAGGACCTTGGAGGATACATCCCCTGAATCCTTCTCCCACGATGAGAGATCCATTCATGTCGTAGTCGGGCAGGGTAAGAACTGCCGCATTGTAGGTCGCGTTAGCTATTACCTGTACAGAGAAATTCGAGATCAGTGTCGTATGAAAGGAAAATAAAATAGAAGAAGAGATTAGATTTTCTGAAGTATGGACGGTTCCATTTTGCTTAAATAATTCCCCGGTATAAAAACAGTGCATTTATTTAAAACAATTGCAAAATAGACGGTTAAAAAACATTTCTTTTAACTGAAATAATTTTCATTCGGTACTTCTATGTCTCCACTGTAAGTGCCCGCAAAGTTCATTTCGATCAGTTTGTTAGTTATGAGTCCTAATAAGGTTGACCCTAAATTTCAAACAGCTGTAAAATCAACAATTTCTAAAATTTTCAAAAATCCTTCGAGATACGTTTATATGTCGCTAAAGACTTCAACATATCCAAATCTAAACAAAATCCGAAATGGTCCTTCAAAAATTGTCCGGTTTCGCGTGGAATGACCTTTCTATCAATAATCAATGAAACTAAACGTTCGAGCTGGAACGTTTCAAGAACTCCGAATCACCTGCGTGTGACCAGCCGCGTTCAGAGTCAAGTTCCCGAGCCTGAAGAACAGATTCACGTTCTGCCAGGCGTTGTTCAGCAGCCTGGAGTTCAGTCGCGCCTTGTAACGTTGCTGGTCGACGATGGCCACGAAGACCAGCCCCTCCGGGGTCACGTCGAGGCTGATCGAGTCGTCGTTGTATTTCTGGGTGAAAAGTCGGCCGCCATCGCACGTACGAAAGCTCAGACCGCTGTGCCGGTGCACCGAGACGAACGAGCTCAGCTTCAGGAACGCCGAGCCGTTGAAGTAAGCTTCCCGCGGATGTTCCTCGTGGTTTTTGTGCCTGACGTCTTGCGGCGCCTCGTCCGTGACCACTAATAAGCTAGTCAGTACTGAAACAGAATATCAAAACGGTACTTAATATATTATACGTTTCGCAACTGTGTTGCTGTGGCTGATGATTTTTTTCTTCAATTCTGTCTGTTTCTGGGTCTTAATTGGACGTGGAATGAAATTTTTAGAAAAACTGTTTGGCGAAGACTACCGTTACACATAGTATACAGGGTGGTCCGTTTAAGTAAGGCCACGTAAATATCTCTTCAGGTTACTGTGATGAAAAAAATATTTGTTACGTAATGTGTCAATGGATCAATATCTGGCAAGAATTTTTTCTTCCGAAGGCATTTTTAAACAAAGCATAATATTTAAATTATGAAAAATTTCGTTCCTATCATTTATCTTTACATCAGGACCTTCATGGAACAGATTTTGTAAATCGTATCCAGTTTTCTCGGTGGGGTTTGCAGTAATACGAAAATGAGAAATCGTTTTTTGTATTTTCCAGGTTAAGGGGTGCTATAAATGCATAAAAATCCGCAGTCTGGTAATAATCGACCAATGAGTATTCTTCCTATAGTTATTAGACGATTCATTGGACCGTGAACGTTAGAAGTGTAACAGCACTCGTGACTCTTGAGGTGACTGATGTACGCTGCATCCGAGGCAGGATCGATGGTGTCGAATGCATAATGCACGAGATGCATCTGCACAGCCGAGACTGTCGTTTAAGGTGGACATCACGGTACTAAAACCGAGAATACCAACGGAAATCGCGTCTTTCAGCTCATTTTTCCTTACATTTCTATTAACCGTTTATTTATTTCGAAAATCTTCAAGTAAATGTGAATTTTAAAAGAATCTATACACGAGGAAAAAATAAATGTTCCTTTGTCTCTCTAGGGAAACGATGGATTTATTCATGAGATATGGTTTCTATACTATAACTAATTGGAAATCCAGAAACGTCCTTCCTGATCCTTTCGAAAAGTCGAAAATGACGCTCTGGGGAAGATTCAGTGGGGAAGTATGAGTCACGAGAAGAGATGAGTGATTATTCAAGCGGGACTTCCCTTGGCTTAGAAGCAGAACCGGTTGCCACGTTATTCTTTCTGTTTGAGTATCGGTGCAGGTACTTCCTAAAAGAAGGATGTCACACCTTCGTTATTTTCGTGTTTTAATACAGGATTATTAAAAAACACATTCTCAAAACTTAAAAATTCAATTTGAGACATATGATGAGTCTATCTCGGGTCAATTTAAAAAATAATTTTGAACTTTTTCCAATTTTATTCGTGGTAGCAGAATGTGGAACAGAAGATAACATTTCGAAAGCGTTATATTTTTCTTGTATAACCCTGAAACTTCTTCATGAATCATGTTTCCTTCCTTTCGTGTTCCGAGTTCAGATTCTATGTACAGTCACTTCAGTTTTATTAGTTTCAATTTTGAAACTTCTTCATGTACTGTCTTTTAAATAAATCTTGGGCTTATTCAGTTCCACATTCTGAAATTATGCAATCTTCAAAATCGTCTTTTTCGAGGAAGCAAATTGAAATTGACACAAATGAAATTTTCGTAGACAATAATTTCCATGAGATAAGTAGTCTTGCGAGCAGTCTTGCGAGCAGTCTTGCGGATTCTATGCATCTATAACACCCATGATTGTCTAGAACTCGATATTCGGTAAATTTAGCTTAGGTTCCATAACATATATTTTAAAGTATTTGCAAATATAGCTACTTACTCTTCATTATAATAATTCTTTATCACTCTGTCAATTTGTCATCGAGGGGCAAATCAATTTGTAAAAATGAGGAACGTGATGAAGGTTAATTAAATGTACAGAGATTATCAGTCAATTTAATTCCAATACTTAATTCCAATTTCGAGGAATTTTTCCAAGAAAATTTATATTCGCATAAATATTTGCAATCTCTGCCATTTCTTCACGTGGACATAAAACGAATAGAAAGAATAACACTTTAACCAGCCGCGGAGAAAATGAAAAAATTCAAGGGTATGCACGGTTAACGATTAAATCGTAACAGAGTTATTCGTACCCGGGTCTAAGGAAGCGGCAGTGTGGTATCCTTAATTAAAATTCATATCGTGCCGGCTCCTAGAGTTTTTCAACGATGCTCTCGCATGAGCGCACGCGACACGTTCGAGGATGAACGCGCGGCAGGAACTCACGGGTTCGTGTGTCCGGCATATAAAATACCCGCGCAAGAGACACCGATACGTTGGATGTACATATATGTATATTTACTGGATGCAATGGAAGCGGGGATATAGCATGTCATGTGACGGTTGCAGTGATTTAGGTAAAAGCTGCAGTGGAACCTCTAACAAGGGAAGGCACAGAAATGTCCCCCTCCGATTTTTATGAAACTTCGTATGTCTGTTAAGCAGTCAAAAATAAAGGATACGTATTTTTTTTTATCGGCTGAGACACGACTTTAAGGGGTCAAACCACCCCAAAACTAAACAGAAATTTCTCATCGGTATGGAATAATTATAAGAATTTATTTAAAAAACATGGAGACTTTATAGAAATTTCGGCTAGTGTAGTATGTATTGTTCTTTAGGTATACCATAAATAATTTATCGTTTTTCTAAATTACGAGGCGATGTATTTCACGAGATATTCACGAAAGAATACTAATTCACCATATTTAATATAAAGAAAGTTCAATCGAGAAAACAAGAAATATTCTTTTAAGTCCTAACTGCGAAACTTGGGGTTTATTTTCTTACTGGTTCTATCTCCAAATATTAACAATTCAAAATTCATGTTGATAATAAGATAAAATTTTGTTAAATATTGTAATAAATATCTATTCAGTAGATGATGTTATAATATCTTTGATTATTTCACTATTTTCCTGCTTATATAATATTAAACTTCGTAAACATTAAATTCAGTTTTCTCAGTTTAGAAACAAGTGGAGATAGAAATAATAACAACAAGAAACTAAAATCATCTGTGATTTAAATTATAAACTATTAAAAATAAGAAAGTTTTGGACAATTTTGAGCGGTATTATACATTGTGTTTATCGAAGTTCGTTTTAAGGACAAACATAAAAGACAACCGGAAGTCACTACGTCCCTCATCTATGAATCGACGAGACGAATATGGTGACGTGTCTTCGGTTTTGCAGTCTCGACCAAACGATGACTCTACAGAGGACAGACACATCCTGTGTTTCGTCGTTGTCTGTGCCGGCATCGAAGTCTCCTCCGTGGCGTGGAACACCGAGGAACCGTTTCGTGAACATTCACGGATTCTTTGTCGTATTATCGAAACCGGTTGACCTTATCATAGCCAGATGAAGTAATGGCAATATGGAAAGTCACCGTGTGACAGTAACTGTGACGAATACAGTAAAGGGTTAATTGAATGAACGATTGTAAATCTTACACGTTACGAAATAGGGGAATATAAAATTTCCGATAGAAAATTACGACATTATCGCTAGTATCGTAAGAAGTATGCATACTTGTGAGCATCATTGTGACACAGGAGTTGCAACAAAGAAAAAGAAATCTTAATTACTGGTCTTCTTATAAGATAACGACGGTCGTTCAAGCATTTTGTCCTTGAATGGTAATTCTTTGTTTGTCGGATTATGACTGTTAGAAAAATGTTTCAATGATTTAACTGGTTAATTGTATAGAAATTTAGGGTAGGTAATAATTAAGTATTTTGTTTCGTGTTAATTTCAGATTTATAATACCGTGAATCATTATGTTTTAGTTCACTTAAGGCTGATTTACAAGGAGAATTCCCGATAAAAAGAAGAAAAACAGCGACTGTGCATGGTATTTTAGAAAGGAGAGTACTATTAGAAAGTATAATGGATCGGACGGATTCTGCAAAATTTCACGATTCGTTTGGCACGCTGATGTTTTGAAGAATTGCTCCTTGTTAACAAGGATCTACGGTACAATATCTAGTTGCCGGGGGGATAACACGTGAAAGCATGCAGCGTGTTATAGGACGAGATGGAATGGAAACAAACAAAGCGATGTCATAATTTACCGTGGAGAATGGCTTTCGTTCTTGTCGCAATTTGGAACGCGAAAAGCTTTTCTTTAACATAATCGCGTGTGCTAACTCGTTTATAAAAGACGCTGTTGAGAATATTTTGTGTAATTATTAACTTCTCAGTTCGGTTTTCAGTACAACTTCTGTCTTAATAATAGACGTCCTCTCGTTATTATGCATTCTATGGAAATGTGAAACAAAATTAAGTATAGAGGTTCGTGTGAATACTGCAATCCCAGTTGCGTTCCTGATTCAGAAATTCGTGGTTATTCATAATTATGGTTTCTTAAAGTAGCACGATTTTAACCTATAAAGTGTGTAAAATATTTAGGATTTTGAAAGAAAAAAAAAAAAAAAAAAAAAAAATCGTGGTAGAACCACGAATCCAAATAATACAGACTAATAATTAGGCGCTCCAGACGATCGTTATTGTATTATACAATTGAGTATGTTATAAAACATGAGCGTAAGTCGGCCGATAATGGAGCGCGATAAAACGGTTCAGGAAACCTCGTCGAATTAAACCGATGTATTCCGGAGTGCGAGGGCGGACTCATAAAGAAGAGTTCCTTGACACGGTGAATACCGGTATTCAGCTATGAGTTAAATTATATGACTCAACGGCTTCGCGAGGCCTGACGAGCGTGTATTGCCACGCCTTCATGGGCTCAGTATAACTTACCTTGTTGCATCGCGCGGGAAGCTATTCTACACTCTCCTAGTAACTACCAGATCCGACGATAGTAGCCGATACAAGAGGAGTAAGCTGAATAACAGTTAATAATGAAATGCATAACGGAGACTTCATTTTGCCCCGTGATCTGCTGGGTTGTTCGGAAAGTAATTTCGATTTTCTTTTTCAGTTAGATATAAAATATATATAAAGATATAAAATTATTATATATTTTGATAACTGACTGACATTTCAAGCTTTGGCTAACAGTTTTAACTCCATTTTTCAAAAAGTTTAGGTAATCAGTCTACTGCGTCTGATTGCTCTAA